GGGCAGCACATATGAAAAACACCTGGGAATTTTCATTGACAATAACTCCTAAACCCTTATATATGTGGTTTTACTACCTAAGAAGCTAGGTTGACTTAAAACCAACTTTAAAAAATGGAATCCTGGCCTTTGGTTAGCTTACTTTTCTACACTTTAGTTTACTCATGTATACCAACCACTTCTAGCCATGCTTCTCAAACTTTAATGTGCCTATAACTCACTTGAGGATCTTGTTAATAGAGAGATTCATATTCATCAGTCTGCAGTGGGCCTGAGATTCTACACGTCTAATGAACTCCCAGCTGCTGCTGCACCCAGACAAGTGTCTTGGAGCGCCAGGTCTTAGAAGACTGCTACAACGCCTAAGTGAAATGACCTACATAAAGTGCTTGGTGCAAATGTGGCTGGCATCCTAGGAAAGAGCAAATGCTTACAAAGAAAAGATTTTAAAAAAAATACTTAAAACCAGGCCAGTAGATGGTATGGTGGTAGGAGTGTCTGGATTCTATATGGCTGGCTGTGTGGTTCAAGTCTGGGACTTGGCAGCTTTAATAACATGTATGTGTGTGCCCCAAATCCTGAGAGAATAGAGGAGAACAGTTTCTGGTGTGGCCATCTCCCTGGAGAGTGATTTCTCACTCCTTCCTTCACCTCTCCAGTGAGCCCAAGTACACTATAGCAAACTATTTAAAACAACAACAACAACAACAAAACAAAAACAAAAACAAAACTAGACATTATATTGTCCAATCCACCTTTCTTTTGCACATGTGGAAACATTGAGTCTAGAGAAGTTAAGGCAGTTACTCCCTCCCTACTAGCCAAAAGTGTATAATAAAGAGGAATAAGACTAATTATTTTTGACCACAAAAAGTATAATCAAGACCAATGAGAGGATGTTTAAGAGTTTTTAATTCCCTACAAGGGGAAACCTAACAACAAATGCTGTCCTACAACCAAGCTCTCGACAGTGACATCTCCAGTCACAAAATAGGACCATAGACCAGTTGGGGTGTTAATGAAGATATTCATACTTTCAGTCACTGGACAACAAGACAACTTGATTATCTAAAAAGGCATCGCATTTCCTATGTTCAAAAATTTAAAAACAAAACTGAAACCTCTTGCTTTTCCTCCTCACTCCTAACTATTCTCTCATCTTTCACATCCCTTCTATCAATAAAGACCAGTGGCTGTACCTTTAAGTAGTGTCCATAATCCAATTACTTCTTACCATCTTCATTACAGCTATCTCTGTCCAAGCCATTATCACTTCTTTCTGGATTTCCAAAATATTGGGTTGTCAGAAAAGTCATGACCATATCTCTTTGTTTTTCTATGAAAAAAAATTGTATCATGACCTTCCCGACAACCCAATAGCTTTTTCTTGGTTTCTCTTATCTGTTCGCTTGGTCTCCTCTACAAAGCAGTCAAAGTGTTATCACTTCTCTGCTCAACATCTTCAAATGGCTTCCTATATCATTCAGGATAAAAGCCAAAATCCTTTCAATGGTTTATAAGACCCTACATGATCTACCCTTTCCAACTCTTGACCATATTTCTTATCCCGCTCCATCTTTTTCAGTCTTCTCTGGCCACCCCTGAAGTCACTTTCACTTGAGTCATATCAATGATGATGCTACCTCAGGCCCTTCTAACTTGTTGTCTCCTCTGAGATCTATACATTTACACCTCATATTACCAACCTATGAAACAACACAAAAACACCAAAAGAGTATTCTAACTGCCCTCTATGGACAAAAGAGCTCACTCTTAGTTAAGGATCAGCATTCTACTTTGCACAAGTTAGTACAGAAGATTGAATGAAACCTTCCAGTCTTGATTGTCATTTAGGTTCATTTTTAAAAATCATACTTGTTGGGTCCAGCCACCATGATGCAGCAGTAGTGCCACTGCTTGGGAAGCTGGAAGTCATAAGAGAGACCTGAGTTCAATTCCCAGGCCAACTTACACATGCCAGGTACAATCACATGTGCCTGTTCTCCTAGTTAACCAGAGACCATGGCAAGAGGATTACAACACAGTACTCTGCCCAAAATACTATCTCTTTCCATTTCCCATTCTCTCTCTTCTTCCCCCATAAAGGAAAACACACACACACAAAGTCCTCTGCTAACACCAAGTCAGAGAAGGTTCAGTGTGGGAACCAGCAGTTAGCGTAATGGCTATGTCGCTGGACTCCCACGTAGTCGACCGCGGTTCGTGTCCCGGACCCGTTGGCTTAAAACTCACGCGTGCGTGCCCAAGATCCCGAGAGGAGAATGGAGGAGAAGGGATTGCAGCGTGACCATCCCCCCTGGGGGGTGATTTCTCGCTTTCTGTCTCTATGTCTCTCTCTGTCTGTCTGGCGAGCGCACGCGCCCTACAGTGAAAATCTCTCCAAAAAAAAAAAAAAAAAAGAGAGAGACGGTTCAGTGCTATACCCACCGGAGAATTACTCCCTGGGTAAAGAATAACCCTTATGGATGACTTAAGCTCATTGGTCTGTGTCCCAGCCTTATCCCACCTGTCAATAAATGAATAAACATCCTAGATGCAGTGCAACTCTGCTGTCCACGTGGAATTATATGCTTTCCTCCTTTTTATAACCAAAGCCCTCATTTGAGCTAACAGGGGGTGGCCATAAATGAAGACAGACAGAGAAAGCAGGGATGTGGCCATCAGGTGGATTCCTTTACAGAAATGGAAGTTACTCATTTACAGGAACGACTCTCTAGGGACCCACATCCCATTGCTGTTGTGGTTGTCTCAGTTCCCACAACATAGTAACAGGGATGCTTTTCAAACAGTGTTGTGCAGTACAGCTTCTCCAGCCACTGAGCTCTTAGGGCTCAGAGATGAAAGCCAATCTTGGCTTGGACAAACCACTTTGGAGCAATGGAGATCAACTCATATGCTGCAAGAATTAATATGGGCAAGGTGAGGAAGAAGGGACAGGAAGACAGATTTGGCCTGAGCTGATGCACCCATGGAGGACTGGGGGGTACTTCTGAGACCATTTGGGCTTCATTTCCTCTTGCCTCTCAAAGTTCCCTCTGCTGCCTCATGAGCAGGCTTCTTCCCAACCCAAACTTAAGAGCCAAAGGAGTATGGGGCTACCTCAAAACCCTCATGCCCCAGTTTAAGAAACCAGAGCACTGCTCTTAGGAACTCAAAAGGTAGCAAGCTAGACTCTTGTCTCCAGCTATTTCTCCTATAAGGAGTCTTCTTGTAACTCTGAGGACCACCCAGTGTAGGCCTGAGAGGAACCTGAGAATAGGGACACCAGCCTCTGGGTTGAAAGGAGCAGAGGAAGAAAATCAGCCAAGAAGATGTGGCGTACTGAACATGTGATTCAGAAATAGGCCTCGTTCATCTCTTACGGAGCCAAAGATGATGGCTTGCTTATGTGGGAAAGCGACGTGTGATGCGGTCACAGGTGAGAAGTGAGATGTTTGAACATGAACGCTTGCTTTCAGTGAACATGTTACATAACTTTGTTTCTGCTGCTTAAGGACAGAACTTCCTTAACTTAGGACATCTTCCCAGGACTCCCATTTGTGAGGTGAGGTGAGGTGTTCCTCCATCCTCTACACAGCAATTGTGTCCAGCAACAAACCGCACACTGGATGGCCATTAAACCTTCCAGGAAATGACTGGGATCAGCACTTCAACTTACTTCTTCTGTACTTCGAAGTAACACATATGTAATCATTTGATAAAGTTAATGCAATCACAAGCAACTGGGAACAAAAGGCTTCCTTTTGATAGAAAAAATAGCCTTTAAGTAAGGGAAAGCTGATCAACTTTGAATAGATGACTTCACCCCACACACCCATCTTGAATATACAATCAAGGATATGCTATTTTAGTCAGGCTCCGTGTGAATCTCTCTAGGAGTCAACTGATTCTTTAATATACCCTTCGGGTACATGGATTTTCACATAAAGGACCGGCTTAAGTGAGGTAAATGCATCCTGGATAACTTGCACAGCCATAGCTCATTTCCAGTATTTACACACGGGACTATCAAGGGAAAGGTCATGTTCTCATCTTTAAAAAAATCCAACCACAATATGCTTTTTTAAAAAAGTATTAGGCTGGGAGAATATTCGAGAAAATTATTTCTCCAGGTGAAAAATATCTCAAACATTTTCAAGGGATATATTTTCTAGTTACCTGTAATGGATGAGAAGACATTGGAGACCCAGGACCCCTAGGGAAAGCAAAGCTCCACTAAACCTCTCTCCTCCGACCTTAATTGGTCAGATGCCAAAATAAATGAACTTTTCAAAGTTAGGAGCTTTGCAACTTTCACGAGGGGATAACTGCAGCTACACAAGCCAGCAGGCACCGACAAGCCCACCCACCGAGTGTGCCTGGTGGTCCAAGCTGGTGGCCAGGCCCAGAACGCCTCAGCGGTTTGCGACCCACTGGCAACGGGTTCAGGCCCAGCTGCCAAAGGTCCCGGAACTCCTGGGCCCTGGCCCAGTGCTGGATCCCATCCTGCCCTTCTCATCCCAGACCAAGGAAAGAAATTAAGCTCAGGAGCGAGGACGAGCAGCCCCCTGGTGGGATTCAGTCGCAGCCCGGGGCCGTCTCCAACTCCCAACTTCCCAGAGTTTCCCCGGCCCCGTCCCCCTTCCCACTGCTTAGGAGGCCACCGCGGCCTCCCCTAGCAGGGAGCGCAGAGCCGAGGGAGCGGTGCGCGTAGCTGGGAGCTCGGGAGCCGCCCCCAGGAGCCCTGGCGTTGGGAGAGCAGGTGGCGGGCGTGGTCCTCCTGCCCTGTCCCAGCCCACCCGGACTCGGCCTCAGCGCCGCAGCCTCCGCCGGGGTCCCTGAGGGTTCCAACATCAGGCCAAGGTCCACTGGTTCTTGATTCCTCCTCTGTCTCAGTGGCTGCCCCCGGTAGGCTCCCAGTCCGCGTCGCTCCTCTGCTTCAGGCCCCAAGTCCTAGCCCGGGGCCCTTTCTCGCTTCAGGCGGCGGCGGCGGCACTCACCTGGGTGACGGAGCCGGGGTCTGGCGCGGTCCCGCAGGTGGTAGATGAAATCCTG